AATCTGAAGAGAGTGGGCAAGACTGAAAGCTAAGCAAAAAATCAAAGTACATCCGTTTTTTTTTTTTTCATCAAGTAGCCCATGAGTAGGACAAGACAGTAGTCAGTGGGAACTGCATAGGATTGCGATTCAGGCCATGAATTAACATGTTTTCCAGGCAGATACATTTTTTACACAGGCAAACGAGTAGGCTATGCAAAAAAATAAAAAAAAAAAATATGGTCATTTTCAATGGATACGACAAGTCGGTAGAATAATTAACAGATACGTAGATGGAGACCTCGACTATAATTTAACGGGAAAAAGTATTCCACGTAAGCACCTGTGGATACGCGTATTTTACAAGTACTACCTACATTTTTAGTCTGCCTATTACTTTTGTAACGTGAACACAAGCGGCACTGAAATCTATAATCTACCGCATATATAAAATACACGTAACAAATAAATATACGTGTTTTCTTTTGGAATGCTTGAAACAACTGTAATTTACAGTAGCTGATAGACTTTTACAGCAATGTAACTGGTAACTTTAACTGGTCTTCCAGTCATGTAGCTAGCAACTTCTTCATGTGTTTTGACTGGAGATACATCGCCTGGGGGTCAGTCTACTGGCGATTCTAGCGTCTAGTTCGTCAATTAGGGGATTACCAGCCCATTGGTTCTCCGTCGATGGTATTTGGAAAAGCTAAGCTATAGTGAAAAGCTATGGTTCCAAGATGCCTTTGATGTGGTCTTGTGCATCATCGCTTCTTTTCGAATTCCAAAGCCACGACTGGAGTTATCACGCCGACTAAAATTGCCTCTTAAATTCCTCCATTATGTCTAATTGGCTTATCTTATTCAAATTACTGCTAATACACTGTGGAAATATGGGGAATGCATGTGTTCTGGAAATTGCATAAAATTCGGGCAAAAAATTTTAATGAGCGAGCAGGACAGTAGCAAAAGGAATCCTGGAAGAGAGCAGAGGTGAGAAGTGATAATCGATAAGTGATAAGAGAATCGACCAAAGGTGCAGTAGCAGCAGCAGCAGCAGGAGAGGAAGGAGCAATGACTTTTGCCTATTCTTTGGATACAAATTCATTTGTAAAAAATATTTTGAAGCAGTCAATAAGCAATGAACGAAAAAACCGGAATTTTTGTGAATGAGGCAGGTGCAAACAGCAAGACTGTTGCTACCTTTACACCTCGCCCACCATCATCCCCTTAAGAGTAATAATGTGTTCCACCGCTGCACCCCAGCCCTTCTCCGTTTCTACTATTCGCCTATGTAGCATTTGCCACCTTTGTACTGAGAAATTTTTAACTAGAAGATTATGCTAATTTAGAAGGATCTGTAAAAAGTGAACTGCAAAATAACGATTTTTTTCAGGATCAGTAAAAGCGGAGGAACCTTTTCCCAGCAGTTACTTACCTAAATTTGCATCTTTAAAAAACAAAAAAATATTTCGACAAAATCAAGGAGATTTGGTCCCTACGTAAACCCCGGTTTCAGCCAATAAAAACTCTCTTCTAATTCCGTTAGTATTGTACTCCCACCACGAATGTGTTATCGTCAGTATTGTGCTGTAACAAGTCGAACGTGCCCAGCCACGTCCAACTTGGCACGCGCCACACAGCACTCAAAGCACCCTGTAAAAGGAGCTCCCTTTGACACATTTCTCATTGTTATTGTACTACTGTGGTCGTCTGATATAAAGTCTATTTCGCGTTCTACAGGGACACGACACATTCGACCCAGGATTACAAAGCTTAAGAATAATGGTAATTTGCCATGTTGTAGCGATGCCCCAGTTTACGTCTTCAACAGTTTGAAAGAAAAAGTCAATGACGAACTGCTTTATTTGGCCTGTTGCGATAGAGGACTTTTTTTGCGATAGAGGACTTTTTTTGCAAATCTGTCGCACGTTTAGGAAAATCGAATGGGGCAGAGTAAGGTTAGAATGATGTGACGTTTGATAACTCTCAAATTCAGCTCATAAGGAACTATCCCTCCCCTCCCCCTCGCCTCTCCCTCAGTCTGTTAAAAAATGATGCTAATTAAATTATTGCAATATAGTGAAAAACAGCATCCAAGCACAACCGGATTATTGAATGATGATTAAGCACGACGTAGCAAACAAAGCGAATTGGTGGAAGTCGAATTTGCTCAACTAGTTCCTCTGAATTTTGAGCAGAACGAAGTCAAGGCATTCCAAGCAGCTAAAGTGTCCAAGAATTTTACTTTTCAGATTCTATAGTTTCTCAACCAAATAAAAGCACTTTTGCCCAGCAAATGAGAGCACTTCTACCCGGCAAAAAGCTTACTGTATTTCATAAATCAGTTCAACTTAAAGAAAATATTCGCTTCTCAGATAATGGACAGAATGAGCGAAAAGTAACAGCAAATTCATTTTTTCCTGAAAATATGCTGAAATTCCAGTGTTAATAAAATACGAACGTTTGAAACTAACCAAAAGTGAATGAGTTTTATGCACATACCAACCAGTGGTGAATCAGTAGCCGTTTCAAGTATCAAGTTTCAAGTATTAGGTACTTAAGTAATTTTTTAACCCAAAGGTAAATAACCACTCGGTTGGATTCCGAAGACACGGCACACAGGTGGTAAGCACTAACTGGAGGTATGCAGCTCAGGATCGAAAGGCCCTGCCATAATTGCGCCTAGAGAATGAAGAATCTCGGTAATATCACTGAGATGGAATAAAGTTACTGGTGAAGATATACATAAAAAAAATATTTTAAAATAATCAAATGAACAGAAGTGTTTGGTGCACTAAGTCGTATACATTCCTATTCAGCATCACAACCTGGACCTCATCAGTACCTACACTGACTATTCAAGCGATCGTGATAATGTTCTGGTCAATGGAAAAACTGTTAATGCTTTTAAAGACCATTGAGAAATTTGATGTTTTTTTCGAAGCCACAAGAACATTTGACTAAGAAATATTTGCTTATATGATTCCTCACCTCCTGCTGTTCCAACTCCCTCCTTCCCCTCCCATTTCAATATGCCAAAAGTTTTTCCAGCCCACACCTGCCGGAAATAAAACAGAATGGTTTACGCCACAAACAGCGTGTTCTGCTACAGTAACATTATTTGTTCAGCATTACCTTATGTGCTGAACAAAAGCGAGTTCAAAATAATACCGCGCCAAAGGCTTATGTAAAAACGCAACTGTTGAAATATGTTCAATGAGTTTTTTTGTTCGAAAAGTCAACAAATTTGTGATGAACTCACTTCTGAGCACATACACACGCACACACACTCACATACACGCAAATACATACACACACACAAACGTATTCTTACAAACGCGAATACACACGCAGACATACACATGAACTCAAATACATACATGCACACCTACACACATACATTCGATTCACAGACACAAATCCAGACCTGTAGAAGG